GAGGATAGGGCTGTTTCAAGAATTGAATCTGTCACGAAGTTAAATTGAAACGGAGAGTGAAGGCAACCCTGTCAAATACCACACATATATGCGTGTTGTTTAATGATCAACAGTACACTCTGACTGTCGTTTCTCAGAAGTTTTCTTTCTCCAATTGTTGGAGCCTAAACAAAGGCGCACGAATCGATCATTCATTATGGCATAAGACGTAACAGTTGATCAGAATAAGACCCGGCACGAGAGTACGAAAACCCTAGCCAGGAAACTCCGCAAATAAGTTGCTTTAGGCCCTTTTGGATAGGGACCATGAGATCATTGTCATCAATGGTTAGAAGAACTGAGCTCGTGAACCTACTCGAAAACTTTATAACTTTGATCTGATCGAATTATCCATATTCACCTTGTCACTTCTAGCATTCTGCTCTGCCCTCTAGCTTTCCCTTCAAAGAGGTACCTAAAAGACAGATCTGTTAAACCTATTGTCGGTTAGAATTAATGTGCGAAGTTCAATAAGTGGCAAGCACGTGAGAAGAACAAATAATATTTCCTAATCAGGCCCCATTAAATCCATTCCGATACATATTCAACAATGCTGCCCTCAGTCTGGAGACGGAACCAATAGCTAATTGGTCGTTAACTCTGAATCCTACTGTCTGTTGCTTCTATCAATGCCGCAGCTGAAAATCTTCATTTTGGCAAATTACAAATGTCTACAACATGACATTTAAACAGGGTTGGATAGCCTTGTCTTATGACTTAGCTTTGGATCATCGTGCCGAACCATCTAGGGTTCGATGCGTTCACGGATCTCATGAGGCAAGTGAAGAACATAATTGTGATTGTCCAGTTATCGGCTCTATTGTTTGGCAACAGACCGTTTACCAGTCATATCTCTTACTAGCGGCAACTCGTCCCTTGGTAAAGTCTTGAAGTGACTCTCGGGTTCGAGGCTGGCGTCCAATGGTCTCGGATCCTTGATGGTTTCTTGTCTGTTCGTGGAGGATGCAACTGGAAAATCAGAAAAAACTGGAGGAGCAAAATATCGTCTTCCCCGGGGACTAGCGATGCGAGTTATTCTGACAACATTATTAATAAACTTAACAATGTGCTATAGCAAATGGGTTAAAGCATAAATACATAAAAAAAAGCTATAAATTTTTTTATTTTTTTGGAGGAGGGCTTAAGAGGAGATAATTAGACCCAGATACTTATCAAGTGGAGACTTGAAAGACGCTTTGCTTGTTGAAGAGACTATCTTTTCTGGCAATGCGTTCCAGTGTGAAATTACCCTGAAGGTGAAGAAAGATGTGCGAAGTGTGATGCGGGGTTGAGACTTGTATAACTTTTTGCTATCACCCCATGTTCCATCCGTCGGGGATAGAGTGAAGAACTTATCTACTGGGCCCGAGGAGAACAGGTGGTGGAGAAGAAATAAGTCACCCCTAATTCGCCTGACTTCTAGAGGATACAGATCAAGCTCCACTAGACGTTCAGGATAGGGAAGGTGTTGCATTCCAACCACCGCTTTTGTTGCCGCTCTTTGAACTCGTTCATTAGCATCACGATCACGGATCAGGCCGGAGTGAACAACTTGACTACCATATTCTAGGAGAGGACGGATATAGGTGCCATAAATAAGTGGAAAGTCTTTCTTGGTGATATGGGGAAAGACCTTCGAAAAAGGTGAAGAACGCGGAAGGCAGATTTGCTGGCTAACTGGTTATGGTGTGAAAAAGATAGGTTGCTATTTAACCAGAAGCCTAGGACCTTGTGCAAGTTGGTATGCTGAAGAGATTGTTTACCACTTATACCAAAGGAGACAGCAGAGGAGTTCCCAAAAGTCATGCCTACACACTTGTCATCATTGATGGGCAGATTCCATTTAACGGACCAGTGTTTAACAGCATCAATAGATGCCTGTAGCGTGCATGTATCTGTGCCCCAGATAATGACATCATCTGCGTACATAGCTACGTTTGCAGATAATGCGCTAGGTAAATCGTTAATATAAATAAGGAAGAGAAGAGGACCGAGAACAGATCCCTGAGGGACACCGGTTGTAATAGAGCTAGGTTCGGATAGTGTATCGTTTACAAAGAAGTGCGGTGAGAGAGAAAGCTGCAAATGAGTGATAGAAGAGGATCAACGATTCCGCATGCCCCTAGCTTGTGTATGAGAGGGACGTGTGGGACCTTATCGAAGGCTTTGGCAAAATCTATGTATACGGCGTACGGGATTTTGCCTTCATCATAAGCCTTTGTTAAACTATCCATGACAGTCAGCATATTGGTGGTGCAAGATCTGCCTGACAGAAATCCATGCTGGAAGGTTGAAAGTAAATTATTTGCGCAGAGGTGCTTGAAGGTAGCCTCTTTTAGAATGCGCTCTAGAATTTTGCTGGGTACACTAGTCATGGAGATAGGACGGTAGCTTACTGGAAGGAATCTACAACCTTTTTTTGTAGATGGAGAGAGCACTGCGGCTTTCCAGCAATAAGGAAATAGTCCCTCATTCATACACCATTGGAAGAGTCGGGTATTGGCCAGCTGAGATGTCCGCCGATTCTTTAAGAATTCTAGGGTGTACTTTGTCTGGCCCCATAGAGGGTTGAGGTTCCGTAGTTTTTCTCGACGTCTAACTGTGAGCAAGTAACACGGTCAGTGGCAAAGGTTGTAGTATCGGANTCGGATGGGTAGTAATGGGAGTGGAACTAAAGGTGATCTGGTAGGGCACTCCATTTTGGATTTCTTTCCGTAATGTAGTCAAACAACAGGACTACGTCGTCACTCTTTCCGAGAGGTGGAATGTGGTTTACCCCGTCGTTCTGGTTGTCTTCGTTCGTTATAATCAGACCTAGCAACGAAGGAGCATTCAATCTAATTTCACCCTACACATGTTATTCTATGAATGCATTTGTGCTTGTGATTGATGACATAGCTCCTTTTGGTTTTGAAAGATTCTTTAGGTGCTATTGGTTCATTCTCTTGGTTTGGGGCTCATTTCAGAAAGTGCAGCAGCAACATTCACAAGTATTTCTTTGACTGCTATCCATTCAATTTTGGTATCGTGAGCAGCGATGTTCCGCGTCACGCCACTTTCTTCCGTGCGTTTCGGCCATGACTGTGCTAGTAGTTTGAATAAACTATTTAGCAGAGGAATCCGATCAGTGAACATTCGTTGGTGGCCCACTTTGGAAAATCCCTGGGTCGAGAAAGCTACAAACGAAAACATTCCGAAACTGATTCCTGACGAAAAGCGCGTTGAATATGAAACATCAAGGGAGGAATTCAAATGGGTTGAGAAGGTACTTCCCAAAAAAATCATCCCACCTGCTCCATCCAATATTGAAACACCCACTCCGAGTGGCTGGATTGCGCCTAACGGTAAGTTTATCTTGCCTGTTGTTTTGTTTGTGTAATATATACACTTTTTTCAAGGAATGTTAGTTGCAGTGTTTCACTAGAAAGAGCTTGTTCTATAAAACCTGAATGCATAATGCTGGTTTCTCCGGTTTCAACATGTTGCTTGGTGCGTCTGTTCCCAATCATTTTTAAAACGATTCATGCGTTGCTATCATTCTCAATGGGAATGTTATATATCAGGGATTGTTTATTCACCGTCGTATCATCCGTTCTCATCAATTGGTCTGTGAAGGGTCGAGTGTATGCTGCAGAAGTTCGGATGGAATGATTTACGGCATAGAGACTTAGCAGTTAGGAAAATAATATAGCAGACTGTCGTATTCGAATGCCACAGTCTACGTCGCATTGCACGAGCCTGGTGGGGAAACCGGACAAGCGATACTGAGATTAAGCGCATAATTTTAGGTATTCGCGGTCGCCCACTGAAGCAGCTGTTCGACTTCCGTAGACCGCGTTGGTTGGTGCACGTCACTAAGTAGATTACCAAGGCGTGTCCTGTTTACCTAGGTAGGGGATGGATGGACGAAAGTAACAGGTGGTCTAACTAAAACCT